CGAACTAGCAATCCTCAACAACTTTTTAATTTTTAAACCAGGAGCTAAAGGCCTGTTTCATGAAATCACACACCCAGCAATCAGCAGTTGTAGGATTAATCTGAACAGGGGTTCATACACCACTAGTTGGCAGTGTTGCACATATTGTACATGAATTGTTAAAGTGTAAGTGTCAAATTGAACAAGAGCATTAAAATTAGCTTCCGCTAAGTTTTCTATGACAAAAGTGTTTTTGAAGTTGCGGACCTAAATATTCTCATGAGCACTTCATAAATTGCAGAGCTAATTTTTGGATTAACGCTGCCACCACTGTAAACAGTATATTTATATAGAAATGTTCAGTTAGGAGAATAATAACCCCCATGGTATAAATCAAATCAAAGTGAAACATACCTCTGTTCTCCCGGAAAGAATTTTCAGGTTTGGGTATTGCTGTGCTTCGTCGGGTCTGAAAGTGAGAAAAAGTCTAGTTTTAAATGAAGTATTAACACGTTTTCTTGGTTTTTTCAAACACACAAAAATAATTAGCCTACAATTACTTCCTAGTGATAGAATCTTTACTTTAAATACCAAAAAGCCTTTATAACCTTTGCAAAAACATATTTGAGTAAATGTCACATTGACGTGACTTCTTTTAAATATAACACTTTATAGAAGACACAATTATTTTATCTTATAGCAGATAAAACAAAAAAATGATATTTAATAAAATTAGAAATACACTACACAAAGAACTAAATACATACATTATATTTATGTACATTATTTAGGCCTCAGTTTATGAAGACAGCAGCTAACATTACCAAATACCATGCACAAATCAAACAGTAGGCTGTGTTAAAAGTGGGTGTGTTGTGTGTGATTTGCTGACATATACAGGCACAAAGAGTTATGAGTGCAGCGCTGGTAAGGACTGCCCTGTTCAAATGAGGATTTAGTGTGTGTCAGATGGATGGAGTGTGTTTTTAGAACATAGACCGACAACCTGCTGCTCCAGAGCTGGTCTTTGTAGCCTTGTCAAAAAAAGATTAGTTTATTTTTATTTGTGGATTAATTTTTTGTTGCACAGTTATCTTGAAAGTCTATGTAAGATTTTAATAGTCTGTCAACCAAATCATGCATCACAGCTGCCTGTTGATGCAGATGTCCAGCATGAGGTGACTGACCGGTGGAGAGGAGTAAGCTCTTTTCACTGACCGGTTCACTTCAGAATCTGGTTCAAAGTCCTGGTCCTCACCTTCAGAGCTCTTCATGGCCAAGCCCCAGAATACATTAAAAGTCTCATTTCACCTTACAACCCCAGAGGAGACCTCCACTCACAGGATCAACACCTCCTTATGGTTCCCCTCACTCACTTTAAGACCCGTGGTGACCGGTCCTTCTCCTCTGTGGCCCCCAGGCTCTGGAATGAACTCCCTGTTAATCTGAGCTCCCTTCATGACATTGTCTTTTTCAAGACACTCCTAAAAACTCACTTCTTCTGTCAAGTGTTTATCTAACCATTTCACCATTACTGCCAGTCTACCTCCATAGTGAATGCTTCACTAATCTGTGTTTATTATTGAACTTACACCATATTTTCTCTCCTGCATTCATTATGTTTTTGTGTATTATTGTATATTTTGAACTACATTGACCTTGTGTTTGATTTATAATTTTAGAAATTAATTCTTGATTTGATGTTTTAATTTTTGTTGCTTATGTTTAATTATGTTTTTCTGTTTCATTTTATTATTTTCACTATTTTTATACTGTTCATGATTGTACAACACCTTGTGAATATATTTCTGTGAAAGGAGCTTTATAAATAAAACTTTACTCACTTGCTTCCTTACTGTCTTAAGGATTTCAAAGAAAAACAAAATCACATTAATAGTGAATACTGCCAATGTGCAAATATTGTAATGCAGGCTGCATTTGGAGAAAGATTCAGAAAAAATAAATAAATTTTAAAAAAGCATCTGTAGAAGGTTTTCAACTCCAAAAAAATTCAGGATGGTAGTTTAGAGTTAATTTATTTATAGTTAGGCTACATTTTAAAAGCTGCAGTGATATATATTGTATTCATTAAAGTGGACTAAATGATATCATCCTGCACTGCGAGATCAGAGCAGAGGTATCCAGTGAGTGCAGTCAGGTTGTAGATCGTTCGTATGGATTTTCATTTATTTTGCATCCATACAGTAGGCAGTCCTGCAGACTTTTTTAAAACTTTCCTTCAAATTGATTTGTCACAGAGCCAGCAGGCTATGAGGAAACAAAGACGCCTTCATCGTCTCCACCGTACCTGCAAAAGCTGTCATCTCTGCCACTCTGTGAGAGGTCGCAGCCCACGGTCCCCTCCCCTCAAACTGTGTGAGTTCAACTTTGGCAATGAAATTAGCTAACATGATATGTTAACTAGGAAAATATCAAAAAAATTAAATGAATCAAATCCTTCAAAAAGGATGTTAATCAATGTTTGATGTGTACTTGACAAAAATAAAGAAATGAAGAAGACGTGTACAGGGTGCAGTGAGGAGCAGACCTTTGGCACTTTGCTGGGTTTGGCGTCACCAGATGGAGCGAGAGGAGTTTCAGGACTCTGTGGGATCTCATCATCAGGAGCCACATCTGGATTCAAAGCAAAGACGCTCTCCAGATCGATCTGAGGCACAAGCAAGACTAAAATATAATTACTATCACAACTTTTCATTATTTTCTCTCATCTCAGCTATGTGGCATGAAAAGCCGTCTGAGACTAAGGAACTGTGAAGAATCCACAGCACCAAGAATCTGGTCCAGGTTCAGCTAAATTCATTCAATCTAACACTAATGATTTCACCTGGAATAACCATTCTGCTAGCTGCATTAAAGGATCCACATTATTACCACAAACTAAAGCAGGAGTGGGTAATATGCTAAACAAAAACAAACAAAGTGATCTGCAGCTGAGTGTTTATGAGAGGACTGATCCGTCAATAAAAGAAAAAATACTTAACGTTTAGAAAAGGATCCTTTACAACAGAACTAAGGTGAAAATTTGAATCAAATACACCCAAAAAATCATGACCTGAGATTTTCCAAACTGGTTTCCCTGATCTGTAGGGGAACCTGAGGGTCCCGCTGTGACCAGAATGATTAACTTCACTTTTGTTTTCATCAAAATTGAGAAAGTTTGAAGCCATGAGTAGTTTTAGTGAAAAAGAATGACTGTGCTTAAACTGAAGTGTTATCTGCACATGAATGAATTAAGATGTTACATTTTCTAAAGATGCAGCAGATCATGTAGATGGAAATTAAAATAGGTTCAAGAACAGACTCTTGGAGAACTCCACGTTAGGGGGGCTAAGGAAAAAAACTATAAACCGAGGGTCAGAGAGACACAGCTGTCAACCAGACCAGACCTAAACTAGTAGTGCAGCACCTTTGAAACCACACTGCTGCAGCTTGGAGATCAAAGTGGTGTGGTCAACTGTGTTAAAGGCAGTTTTCAGGTGTAAAGTAAAAGAATGGATCTGTAATCTGTAGATGATTAAAGACCATTAAAATGTTTAAAAGTACAGTGTCTGTGTTATAAAGGGCTTTGAAACCAATTTCATTCATTCTAGAGGGTCAATATCATGTAAAATCAACTTTTTGTCATGATTTTTCAGTTTCACCTTGGTTTTCCTAGTGTTTCTATGTTCCCCAGTGTGTCTCAGCCCAGCTGCCCCTTATTTGTCTGATTAGTCACCCTCGTGTTTCTCACCAGGTGTTCTCAGTTTGTCCATTAGTTGTCAGTGTATTTAAGTCCTGTCTTGTCTCAGTCTGGGGTCAGATCCTTGTTTACTGTTTGCGATCTCTTGTTCCTTGTTCTCTTGCTCTTTATTCATGTTCTTGATCCTGCCCAAATCTCCTATTCTTGTTTGCTGCCACGTCAGCACCTTTTGTTTTGTCTTAATAAACCTTTTTTGCCACCCTCACTCAGTCCTGCATTTTGGGGTTCAAACAAACCCAGCCAACTCCTTACACTTTTTGAGTTTTATATCATGTTATAATGTTATACTGTCATAAAAACATGTCCAAAGCCTTGCTCTGACTCATTCATCATGTTTGAGAAATCCTGCAGTGTTTTTATGAAGCCATGCTGAGGAGCAAAACGACAGGTGGGGACCAGAAACTCCTTTTGGTACCAGAAACACCTCTGGGACCAGAAACACCTCTGGGATGTGTCTTTAAGCCAAACTTCCTCATTACGGAGCACACCTCCCCACCCCCACTCCACCCCACAC